AGTCCATACAATAGGCTGTTAATATCAGTCACTCAACAAAGTAGAGAGCCACTAGATTTTGAATATAGAGGCAGGAAGTTTCTACCACAGTTCATTTCTTCCATCAACCAGGCAAACTCTGTTGGCTGGATTAAAAGGCCTGACGGTGTCAAAAGCTCTGTCCTTCTTTGATCTGCTTTGCAAGTTTGCAAAGAGAATTCATTTTATGGGTTCTACTGACAGCAATTGTGATCGTCGATTCGAACGAGGTACGGCGAACGAGCGAGTGAATATAAGATTACCTTGTTCTTAAGTATTTCTGCCTATTACATATGTGAAAAGAGAAATAAACTAAAATTAAAAAGCTGTTTTTACTGCCAACAGAACTGAAAGGCTATCATGTGAAAATTTCATCATTACGATTGAGTTGTTCAGTTAATTATTAAAATCTTCGCAAAACTTAAAATTCATATATATAATATGGCATCAGTCACCTTAGCGTTGTTCAATAAAACAAGAAACGGTTCATTTTAAACAGTCAGTTGGAATGACCTCTTATCCTTTTAGACGTGTAAGACATTGCTGAAAAGTTTGTGCAAAACATCCTGTGCCAGCATTTGATGCTCCGCAGAAAACCTGATATTGAGGCAAATATCCTGACACCTTTGCCTCAGGTAATTTTCGCTTTCCTCGGAGTCTTCAACCGGTCGGTTGGGTAAGTAGTAGTGTTTGGTTTTCTCTTCTAAAAGCATTTGCAAGACGTCTCCAAGCCTTCGCAGTTGTGACTTCTCAGTCTCAAGAAGCAGAGGCTACGTATCACGGCTATTTCGAATATCTGTCGACAAGCGGAGCACGTCCATTCGTCTCAGTCGCTGTTACCCGGCATCGAAGCTTACGGTCATGGTCCAAGACCTGTGACCGTAGGTGGGCATCGGGATGAAGATCGACTCGAGCACCGACAACTTAGTGCTCAGGCTCAGGCTCAGCTCTGCTTTAATCACAATGGTTCAGGCTAGTTCACGTGGAAGACCGCTGACCATTCCATTTCGCCATTCGATCTTTTCCTCTCATTTTCCAACACCCGTAAATACGACTCTGAGATGCGTTAACTGCTCTACCTATTCCCCTGCTTCCGTGTTTATTCGCTGAGCACGACGGGTAGGAGAAAGAGAAAGCAGACATTTCGTTTTGGACATGTTCACATGCATTCGGCTGCGAATGTTTCCAGAGAGCACCGGAAATCAGATTCAGACGATGCCGTGAAACGACGCTGTCTACACACAACGGTCTTTTTCTTTGTACGTGTCCGATGCGGACACACTTGCGTCCATGACTGCTCCTGACTTTCCATGTACAACACGAACAGAAAACCGAAAACAATGCATACTTGGCGGAGACAACTGTTACCACTGAACGGTCTTGATTTACCTCATCGACTTACTCTGGCGCACAACCTGCCTTCAACCTATGGCAACTGATCACGGATCCCTATGTTTCCTGGTACGCCCATGAATCGTTTGGCGGGATCCGGTCATAGGCTTTTACCAGATTCACAAAGTACATGTAAACCGAATGAGCAAACGTGTGCGATTTTCCAGCGATCTGGTGGAAAGGGAAAATCTGATCAGTGATCGATTCTGCGAAATCTCCTTTTTAATATATTCGCGTAGACTTTACCTTGAGGCTGAATCAGGTAACGCCGTAATAAATGGAGCGCTTCCTTCATGAACAGGGATACTATAAGCCCTCTTCTCCAGTCCACTGGCGTCTTCACCGTAGCCATTGCAGTTTCACTGATGCGTGTTAGCCAGAACATGCCTTTTCGCCAAAAGCATCAAATTTTTCAGAGTGGATTTCATCGATTTTAGTAATCGTACAGTTTCTGTGGATTCATCTGCTGAAAGGCTGATATCCGTCGTCTGCTGCTGTTCTTGCGAGTTTTCCGATGGCTCAGGTCTAAGAAGTACCTCGAAGTTTTCTCTCCATCTCCGACGGATTTCCTGGTCCTTACCAAGAGATCGTTCGGACTTGTCCTCCGGGACTCTTAGACTGTCGCTCTTTCCACCTAGTAGGCGACAGATGTTCTGCCAGAATACCTTGTTTGCTGTCTGGAAGTCGACTCCACTACCTCACCGAAGTTTTTCCATGAATCAGCACTCGCTGGCGCCTTGCGCCCTTCTTTGTACTGTATTCGAATTGAAGGCTCTTCACCTCCGAACCATGTCTTGAATGCAGCTTTCTTATGGCTGGCAGCCAGTTAGATCTCTCCTGTCCACACGGATTTTGATTTCTGACTTTTGAGTGGCAGGCCAACCAGGCTTAAATCGCGGCACTCGGCGGCAGCCCCGAGTAAGTGCTTTAAAGAGCCTTCATTCGACTTCCACATCAGCCGTCATCCGTGGGATCTACTGAAACCCCTGTACAATATTTTTGCAAGTATTGTTTTTGCCATTGCGTCCGCAGAAAGATAATGTTTCACATTTTATTCACTTGTCGTTCTGTCACAGGGTACGTCGTCATTTACAGATGAGGGTATCAACAACAGGATGACGGTCTTTCGACAACTCTGCATATCTACTAACTCAAACATCCATTACAGAACATCCTACGTCAAACGAGGCGATTATCAAATCGATAATCGACTTCTGTGCACATGCTTCCTCATACCAGGTGCACTGATGCGCGCTTCGAAGCAAACGCTCCTAGCAACCAGTCGGTTGTTTGCTCAAAATCGCAACAACCACATGCCGTTAGTGTTAAGGTCGCTGGGGTCATTTTTCCAATCACGTCTTTCCATTTTTCGATGTCT